AACTTCGTTCCTTACCTATGATAAACATCTTAGCCCTCAGTCTGTCACATGGAACATGGGACATACAGGAGATTGAGGCCCTGAGTTTTGGGGCAAATGAAGATTGCCAGGTGGAGGTCATTAGGGGGAAAGTATTATTAAGTGAATAGGCTATATACGCTGCATGATGTTTGCAGGCAGTTACAGTTTTCCTGCCTAACCCACTGCCACCGGGCCATGCGGATATGTTATCCTGTTATCCAGCCATCACCACTAGATCATTTCTTTTTTCTTTCTTTCTTTTTTTGAGACAGAGTCTCACTCTGTCACCCAGGCTGAAGTGCAGTGACGTGATCTTGGTTCGCTGCAACCTCCTTCCCTCGGGTTCAAGTGATTCTCCTGCCTCAGCCTCATGAGTAGCTGAGATTATAGGCACCTGCCACAGCACCCGGCTAACTTTTATATTTTTAGTAGAGACGGGGTTTTACCATCTTGGCCAGGCTGGTCTTGAACTCCTGACCTCGTGATCCACCTGCCTCGGCCTCCCAAAGTACTGGCATTACAGGTGTGAGCCACTGCGCCCAGCCACCACTGGACTATTTCTGTACGTAAGGTGGTTCTCCTTTCCAGCCCACTGCCACTGGGCTCTCTTCTCTGTATGTAAGCCCCTAATATAAGATTGGAGATAAAGTAATCATGGTTTTTGTCATTTAAAGTAATAAAACCTCACATCTCATTTGCTGGCTCTAGGTCTCTTCTTCAGCCTCTTGAACCTAGTTCCTTCCCTTGTTGACGTTAATAGGGGTTAGGCACAACACTTGGGTACTGATTAAAGTAGGAATGGGTGTGAAAACAGTCACCCTGTAATGTCCCTGGGAAGTTCCCTGAGGTTTTTGATGCCAGAGCAGAGATCTTTGGTAATTTCCTCGCTACTTTATCCCTAGGGCCTGGCACAGGTACTCAATAAATTAATAAACAATGCTGAACTCACAGATTTATAGAAAATACTTGTCGGATTGAATTTTGATTATATCTCTTCCTTAGTTCATCAAAGCCCATCTTTGACAAAATAAATCACTTGGTTTATTGGTATAGGCAAGAATTCTTCCATACATTTTTTTCTTCTTTATCTTCTAGAGCAATAGATCCCAGCCTGGAACCAAAACATGTGAACCAGTCTCTTCTTTTGCCAAGTGGTAGGAGATTTTCTTTTTTAAGACATGATCATAATTTCATTAAAGAGGGGAACTTTCTTTTTTTTTTCACATCCAGAAACTAGAAAAGACAATCTTAAAGGACTATTCTTTATTGAACATATGTGGCTTTATTTAAAACAAAAAGCAACTCACTCTGATGTCTTTGTTTTTCTTACATCAGCTACCAGACAGGCCTTTGGCAGCAGAGCTCTGAAGCTCAACAGGGCAATGTCTAAAAGATCAGCTACCAGAGATAATTTGGAGGATGGCACTTACGTCTGGATGAAATCCATCCTTTTTTGCCAGGGACCCCTTCAAGTTCAAGAACTACTTTGCAGGCTGGACATGGTGGCTCATGCTTGTAATCCCAGCACTTTGGGAGACTGAGGTAAGAGAATTGCTTGAACTTAAGAGTTCAGACCAGCCTGGGCAACATGGTGAAACTCCATCTCTACCCCAAAAATACAAAAAATTAGCTGGGCATGGTGGTGCACACCTGTGGTCTCAGCTACTCAGGAGGATCGCTTGATCCTGATAGGTCGAGGTTGCAATGAACCAAGATCGCGACACTGCACTCCAACCTTGGTGACAGAGTAAGACCCCCTCTCAAAAAAAAAAAGATTATTTTGTGGTTTGTAAATAGCTATATAGCTTTTATGACTGGTGATGAACCCAGCTCAGCAAGCACCTCAGGAATACCCAAAGGTGTTTGTTGAACTGCCTTGGGGACAAGGCAGGCAACGGCTAGTGGCTATGAAGTCTAGTGGGTTCTAGATTCTTGGCATCTGCATCATCCATTGTAGGGTTTGCAATGATGTCATCTATGTTTAACTTTTAAATTTCATTAATGCATTTACTCTTTTCTGATATTTTGCATATATGCTTCCCCATAAATTGTATATACTTCCTCTCTAAATACACACACACCACATATATTTCTACCTTTTCATCTATATATGTATTGTGTATATACCCATATATAGATATATACACTGACATCTCTCCACTTATTCTTGAAAGCTTTTCCAGAGAGAGAAGAAAATGGTATAGGCACAGTTTTCTGTAACTGATATTTTCCTCTGCCTTGCCATGGTCTATTTTTTCAATTTGTATGTATGACCTGAAAAATCAGTTCTGGCTGGGTGCGGTGGCTCATGCCTGTAATCCCAGCACTTTGGGAGGCTGAGGTGGGTGGATCACCTGAGGTCAGGAGTTCAAAACCAGCCTGGTCAACATGGTGAAACCCCGTCTCTACTAAAAATACAAAAATTAGCTGGGTGTGGTGGCAGGTGCCTGTAATCCCAGCTGTTTGGGAGGCTGAATCACTTGAACCTGGGAGGCAGAGGTTGCTGTAAGCTGAGATCATGCCATTGCACTCCAGCCTGGGCAACAGGAGCAAAACTCCATCTCAAAAAAACAAACAAAAATGTTTGCTTGCAAAGCATCTAGGGCAATAATCTAGCATCCAGTAAAATGATCAACTAATGTTCCTCATTTTTATTTACTTTTTATTTTTATTATTTTTTGAGATGGCGTCTTGCTGTGTTGCACAGGCTGGAGTTCGGTGGAGCAATCTCTGCTCACTGCAACCTCCGCCTCTGGGGTTCAAGAGATTCTCCTACCTCAGCCTCCCAAGTAGCTGGGATTACAGGTGCGTGCCACCACACCCAGCTAATTTTTGTGTTTTTATTTTATTTATTTATTTATTTTTATTTATTTATTTTTTTTTTTGAGACGGAGTCTCGCTCTGTGCCCCAGGCTGGAGTGCAGTGGCGCAATTTCGGCTCACTGAAAGCTCCGCCTCCCAGGTTCACG